GCTACTGAGAGCCCCATGATGTAGCAGAGGTAAGTTCTTTTTCAACCTCAAATGCCCCCTCCAAATAATCAGAGTGGTGACTTCTTATCAAGACAAAAATAAGTAGTAATATCATCAGCAAACAATGCCACCTTAGATGTGAGAATTTATGGGAGATATGTAGGGCTAAGGATAGAACCTTGAGAAACCCCTGAAGTTACAGGAATAGAAGAGTGCTGTCCATCAAGGACAACTTTTATACTACAATTGGTAAGGAAGGATTCGATAATCTTAAAGTTGTTATCTGCCAAACCGTAAGAAAAGAGCTTATAGAGAAAACAAGGGTGTCAAACTTTATCAAAGATTTTAGATATGTTGAGAGCAATAGCCTTAACCTCTTTACATCTATCTAATGCTCAATAAAATCTATTGGTTATTACCGTTAAGCAGCCGTGGCGCAGTGGTTAGAGTTCTGGCTCAGAACCCAGAGGTCCCAGGTTCGGCGCTAGCACTACCCAACAAGCGACATTGGTACAGAAGGAGGCGTGAACTTCCTGTTAAATGCTATCCCGCGGTGCTCTATGATAAGACCGTAAGGACTTCTGGGAGCACCTAAATACATACAAAAAAAAAAAAAATTAACAATTCAGTAATAGAACAAGAAAATTGAAATCCGTACTGATGATTAGAAAGTATGTTATTAGATTTAAGATGAGAGATTAAGTGTTTGTTAATTAAAGACTCAAAAAACTTGCTTATGATAGTAAAAAGATTAATAGAAAGGTAGTTAGATGAGACAGATTACTCTCCAGAACTTTTGAAAATAGGGATAACAGATGCCGCCTTCCAGCAGGCCAGAAAACAAGGCTCTGATAAGCATTTGTTAAATTGTTTTAAAACAATAGACAACAAGTCCAAAGAACACTTCTGCAAGCCTATAACAGGTATGTTGTCCAAACCACAAACTGCAGAAGAGTCTAAGCAGGAAATCACTTTAGGTACAGAATCTGGAGTGGTACGAATCTTATGCAATGAATCAACCTGTTTGTCGGCTATATCAGGTAGAATGCGACTAGTGGAACCAAGAGGCAATATTGATGAGAAGTTCTTAGCAAACAATTTAGCTTTGTCTTTAGGTGAGGTGACAAAATCTGAACAATACAAGAGAGGTGGAAGGTTTTTCTTTAGCTGTTTAAGATTCTCCTGTAGCTACAAGAATCTTTTTGAGATAAAATACGAGGTTTTGTGATCTGAAAATAGCGGGCTTCAGCATTAGACAAAACTTTTTTACAATGGTTTCTAGCAATAGTAAACAGACATCTGTTATCTGGAGAATTGTTTTGCTGATAGATATGAAAATAATTTATTGGAAATCAATTAAAAAAAAAAAAGATTGGAAATTGCAGCAGCACAATGAGAGGAAAACCATAAACAAGAGTGAGGCTTGATTTGGAATCGGCAAGAGGGAATAAAAGACTCCATGCCAGACTGAATCCAAAAAGTTACACAAGAAGCACATTTATCAGCAAGAAGACAAAAGGTTTCTACCAAAAGGCAATCACAAAGAAAATCACAGAAAGAGTCCCTAATCAGCTTTAAGGTAGTTGTAAGAGGTATGATGATAGGGGGATTATGATGATGAAGAAAAATGAGATAATATCAGAAGCACTTATAGGGTAAATGTGGTGAAACTGAGCACTGACTAGGATTAGAAACAAGACATAAGTTGAGTAGAGAAGGTAAATAATTCCAATTGTGAGGAAAGCAAGTTGGAAAGTTAACTAACTGTGTTAAAGATAAAAAAAAAAAAAAGATAAAAGTTGTGGGCCTTAACACCTGAATAGTCACGGACACAAGAGCCCAGCCATTCAGTGTGATGGGCATAAAAATCACTAATGATATTGGCTAAAAGATAAAAAAAAGGGCCTGGGATTGGTTAATTTGATCAGAAATAACATCAAACAGAATGCATTCTTGAGATGAAGGAGAGCAATCTAGAACAAAGAGAAAGGCGATAGAGTGAAGTAGTGCTAAATGAAAACATATAAAAAAATAGTCTGTGAATTCAAACCTAGTTTTCTGACAAATAGGTGAATTTTTACGAATGTAAGTGCCCAGACCAAGCATGTGATTGTTGGAGTCTTTACGAATTAAAGGAAGATAACTATCAACATTAATATCACAAGATGAACAGCTGAACTCAAATTAGTCACACAAAAAGCAAGTAGATCAATTGAGTTTGCAAGAGATAAAACTCAACAGAAGAAAAGTTACTTCAAAGACCATGAAAATTAGTGAATGATAGATTTAGAGACATTCGTAATGACAATTGTTTTTTTGTTTTATAGTTTTTGATACTTTAGTCATTTTTTAAATTAGTTTAAGAACTTGACTCAAATCAGAGATAGTATACAGAGATAGTATACTGATTTATCTCAAATCAGAAATAAATCAGTATACTATCAAACAGTCCAAGCAATTGCCTCGTTACTATTAATAAAAGCTTTAATATATGTATGTAATTATAAATGGGTGTTTTGCTGCATATAAAATGTCATTGTTATCCCTGTGCATGTGGGTATGCAGTGTTTTGTAGTGTTGTTTGCTGACTTCCAGTTTTAAAATAATAAGTAGTTTTTTTTTTAATAATAAAAATCTCACTTATAAAGATTATATTTACTCAAATCATCTGTTGATTTATGTACTTAAACCCCCGCAGATGGTTATTTCACAGATATTTCAGTATATTTTATACTAAAATATTTATCTATCAATGCTTCAGTACATACATCAATAACACCTCACCCACAGATATTTTGCTAAATATATAGCAGCCCTAAAAGTTATGTTGCAAAAAAAGTTTATAAAAATAAAAGTCATAAATTCTTTATTACTTTGAATTGCAGAAAAAGAATAAATATATATATATATATATATATATATATATATATATATATTATATATATATATATATATATATATATATATATATATGTATATATATATATATGTATATATATATATATATATATATATATATATATATATATTATATATATATATATATATATATTCATTTTAAGTTATCATTTTTTGATTGATAAAAATATTATTTTAGTTTTTGATATGTCACATCATATTGTGTTGTATCATGCTATATTAAAGTTAGTAAGGTCACTAGCTTCTTCAACAATTACTCTAAAGCTTCTAACTGGTGTAAAAGGAGCATCAAAAGAAAACTCTTCTTCAGTTGTAAAGTTGTTAGCAAAGCTAAAATCTTGTGTGGAAACATACAACAAAAGACTAAAGTAAATATTTTTTACCATTTTAAATGAATTTTTCTTTTAAAGTTCTTAAAAAAGTTGTTTGATATCTAAGCTTTTTGATTTTAGATTAAATAACAAGCCCAAAAAAACAGTCACAAAATCACGTGTTATAGTATACAAAGATGAAGAAGATTTATCACCAGAGACAGACACCGAAGAATTGAACTTTTTGCTTGATCATATAGAATTGACATCAGATTTTGTTCAACATAAAGCAGATGATTATGACAGGGAGCTAAATGCAGCAAACAAAAACACCACTCTGGTTGTTGATACTTTTGAAAGCAATAATGGAAGAAGCAATGAACAGTTATATGTAGCTGCAATGTCACAACTACAATTTGGTAAAATTTGAACTTTTTTTTAATTCTATTTTATATTAATTAACTTAACTACAAAATTATGTGTTAATTATAAAAATTAAAAATTAAAAAATTAATTTTTTTTTTTAAATTTAGGCAATTTAGTCAGCTTTTAAGTTTATTTTATTTCATATACAAAATTTTTGAATAAAAAAAAATATTTATATAAAAAAAAAAATTAATGTTATTTATATTTAATAATAATAATAGTAACTAGCAGTAAGCAACCCGCAATACCAGTTAATAATAACTAAATCATTAGTAACAAATAACTTGATATATTATCTAAAAAAATATAACTAAATACAAGTTTATCTAAAAATGATTTTTAAAGTTCGGCTTCTTATTAGCAATGTCATTGCTTATAGTTATAATTATATTATAAAACAGCAAACAACTTGTAAAATATGTTATACATGGTCATTATCAATCATGGTGTTAAGAAGTACGTAAGAGGTTAGTAATTACTTAGTTTTTATCAATGCTCCCTTCATTAATTCTCATATAAGTGAGGCAAAGACAGTGTTTCCAAGGCAGCGTGTTAAAAAGAAGACACAATAAATAATTGACATAAGAAAAGTTACTGTTAAATATATTGACAAAAACTAATTTCTTCTCTTTTTTTGATATATTATTTGTTTTACAGTGAAGGCATTTTTGTTATCATTAAGTTGAATTTTCCTAAATATCTTTCCACTTTTTGGAGCAGTTAAAAATTTCTTTTAACACATATAAATGTTAACTTACATGTTAAACGGGACACTTATTAATATTTTGATAACCCCTCTCCTTTATTAAGAAAAAAAAAGTAATATTTTCTTTAAAAGCATTTAATGTGCATGATAAAATTATTACATAAAGGTAAATAGATAAACATAGATAAAAAAAGACATTTCAAACAAAAAATTTCAAATATTTCATGCTTCTAGAATGCAACCCTTCCGTTTATTACAAAATCACATATTTATTTAAAAATAAATATATATCTTTTTAACAAATTAACAAAACATAATTGTTATTTTTGTTCTCTTGTATCGCATAAATACGTCATATGATGTCTAAAAGAGAAATATAATAGATAAGTAAATATAATAGAAAAAAAAAACATTTTTAAAAACAGGAAAATAATTTGCCTGTTTTTTGTAAACTGCAGTTGCTGTCTTGATGAAGCAGTATTTGATAGTATTGTTCAATGAAGTTATTTCATACTGGCTTTTATTGAAGACAAAACAAAGGTTTCAAAATGTTATTTATTTATTAAAAAGCCAATTAAAAGTGTTTTAAAGAATAGAACTATGAACAACACTAAAGATAAAAAAACAAGTTGAAATATAAACAAATTGTATTTATAGCAACATGTTTTGTCTTGGCTTTTAGTGAATGATTAAAAACAGTAAGCTCCATGAATAGAACTACCAATTAATCATTTTTAACAATAGACACCAACGGGAAGGTAAGCCAAGCTGTCTATCAACACAAATCACCACAGCAATGTTACAATGATAACACACAGCAAAAGCACATAAGTAAGATATTTGTAAGTACGAATTACACTTACTCTATACAATGGCAAAGTCAAATCACTTTGAAAACATGGAAACAACATAAAATAGACAAAGAAACAAACTATAAACACATATAACCTTTTTTTTTTTTTAATTATTCACCTCCCCAAGGCCCGAGGGGCCACTACAGTCGAGGAGGTTACTCATTTTACTTTACAACTCTTCTTTTTATAAATCTAACAAATAACAACAAACACGATTATTCGTTCTAAAATTCTAAAATAAAATATTCTAAAATACAACTAAAGTAAACATGTAAAATGAAACTATGTAAAATTGGTTCTCCTAAAAAGCTAACAGAAGTTTGTCGGATCTGGCTTGGTAGACCTTTTCAATTGACCGCATGTATTTAAAAAACACGCTCTTTAAATTTAAAAAGCCTGGAATCTACTTAAAAATACAATGAATGATGATGTATGCGACATTGAACATTTACTGTAGCAATTATATTAAGACAATATAATATTTTTATAATATAAAAATATAACATAAAAATAACATTCATATTTAACAGAACATAAGTAACAACATTACGCAAAATGTTATTAAAATACATTATTATGTGTTTTCAGAATAATTAATAATAAAGGCTTGAAAACACCTAGACCTAAAGCAGTAACAATTTGACACTAAACACTGCCGTGTAATCCTCTGTGGTAATTACATGGTTTGGCTGGCAAGGTTGACAAATCTTGCTCTACACGTTTGTCAAGTCACAGCACTTTGCTTTGTTTTCTTTTAACTTTTTTGTTGCATAAAAAATGCATTAAAAATAATTAGGTCTCATCTTCCTTCTAAAAAATAGAAGATAAGCTCAATAAAAACAAAACTGCTTAAAAAAATAAAGCAAAAATAAAAACTAAAACAAACAAAATGTAATTGATTAAAAAGAGTGATCCTTTCTACTTTATTTCTAATAAAAATGTTATATATAAATTGCTTAACTATTTTCTATACTTACTTCAATTATAATATGATCTTAACGATGATTATTTATCTTAATATGATTCTTTATGTAATATTTCTAAACTAATAAATATTAATTCAATTCCAAAAATATATAGATAATAATATTTATGCTATGCATTTATTATGATAATTATATTTTTATATTTATGACTTAATTTAGTAGTTGTTGATCATTTAGTTTTAACGTTAGTAAACTTTTTAGATACTTATGAAATTGTAACAGAAAAGGAAGATGGTACACTTCAATTTAATGTTCCATTTTATTATGCATCCACTGTGCGTTCTACTGTTAGTGCAACAAATGATTCATGGAACTCGTCACGAGCTCGCAGGCTAGCTCAAGAAGTTGCTACTTTGTCAACTTCTTTACCTTTATCATACAGCTCAACTGTATTTTTGCGATGCGATAATGAAAGATTAGATGTCATGAAGGTAATAGTTTATAAATAGGGATATACGCTGGGTAAACTTTTTTACTAGGTTCATTTACAAAAAAAATTTATCTTTATAAAAGATAAAAATTGTGTGAATAAACCTTGGTGTATTTTTTATTTGAAATTCTTTAATCAAAATTTTGGTTAGAGTATTAGGAATAACAAGAGTTCTTAAAGATAATGTTCTTTTAACATAAATGGTAATGGTTGCAGTTACAAAATGTTAGTTCAGAAAGTTATGAGTTCAAACCTCAATGTTCCCCAAATGCAATCATTCTTATTTTATTTTTTTTATAAAGCATTTTAGTCTGTGACTGATGTAGATATTGTGGCACTCTTTTGCAGCAGCAGCCTATAAGATAGTTGATGTATGTACTGAAGCCCCTAGCATCAGCCTATTTTAGTTTGACATTACAATGCTTATCTAAACATGCATTAATATTTGTATATATATATATATATATATATATATATATATATATATATATATATATGTATGTATATATATATATATATATATATATATATATATATATATATATATATATATATATATATATATATATATATATATATATATATATATATATATATATATATATATTATATATATAAAATAGGCAGGCTATGTTTTTAAAAATTTTCAACTTATTGTTGATTTCTGGCATTATTACCTTGGATACATATAATTTTTTAATTTGATTTTGATTTTTGAAAATATTTTGATTTATTTTACACAGTCAGGTTGCCATAGGAGTGATATGTGTAGAAAAAGTGTTGCTATGAAAACTTTTGGTTGAAGAACAAATTGGAGAAGGTTTAGTTGTCTTTTTTGTTAGTTGTCTTTGTTGTCTTTGGTTTAGTTGCAAGTTATAAAAAACTTACCAGTTATAAAAAACTTTATTTTTTAAGACTTTAAAAAGCAAGGTTCAGCACCATGTCACACAGTTAAAATAGTTAATAAGTGGTTTACTGATGATAGTATTGAGTTATCTGCCAATTGGTCCTCTAGTTCACCTGCTCTTAATATTATAGAGAACTGCTGCAATATTATGAAACAAAAAATTGCAGCGCATCAACCAAATTCTAAAGAACATCTCTAAAAGATTCTAAAAGAAGTATGGACTAATTAAATCACACCAGAATTTTGTAAAACATTAGTACATAGTATGTTAAAAATAATACATGCAGAAAATGGCTGCCTATCATTTTTGAAGGAAGGAGTTTTCTTTTTTGTCTACATTTAGATACAAATGTATCTAAATGTAGACAAAATGTTTGTTTCATTTTCTTAAGTCTGGTCCGTGTCAACATCACAGAAGTTTTTTAATAATTAAAGGAAGTATCCAGAAGTTTCCAGAAGCATGCAGAAGCTTCCAGAAGCATGCAGAAGCTTCCAGAAGTTTCCAGAAGAAGCATCTGGAAGCATTCAGAAGTATCCAGAAACATTCATAAGCATCCAGATGCATCCAGAAGCATCGAAAAGAAGCATCTAGAATCTTCCAGAACAGGTTCACACAGGTTCATTTTACTAAATAAGAGACATGTAAACCAACATGTAATTCAGTCAGTATATGGAAGTCAATCAGTCAGTATTATCAAGACAGTTTATCGAAGTGAGTTTTATCAAAGTGTTTTATCAAAGAACATCAATACAAGAAGTGAAATACAACAAATGTTTTATTACATCAATACAGTCCACATCCAACCAAGATGTTATGTTCCACAGAGCATTATTGTATCATCACAAGGTAAATGTAACACGGTAAGTCTTGAGAAGCGTGATTATTTATTTTTATTATTTTTATGACTTCAAGTGCAAAAATGGCTCCCAACAGTCTTGGATTGGAACTAAGAAAGAAAATTATTGGTGATTACATAAGTGGAATGTCACAAAAAAGTATTTGTGATAAATATCGCGTGAAAAAATGGACCGTATCAAAACTATGTTCCAAATATCGTTCTACGGGGAAGTTGGCAGCAGATAAAATAGGTGGAAGACCGCATTCCACAACTTTTAGAGAGGATTCTATGATTGTCAGATTCGTCCAGAAGGATCCCTCGATATCATCAGTCGAGATACAAAAGCAATCAGAGCTGCCTGTATCGGATCGAACAATCAGACGACATGCTGTTGAAGCCAGATTGTTTTCTTGACGCCCTGCAAAGAAACCGCTGATTTCACTAAAGAAACAGAAGAAAAGACTCCTGTTTGCAACACCTCATATTGACTGGAATGTGCAGAAATGGCAAACTGTTCAGTTCAGTGATGAATCAAAGTGCAACATCATTGGGAGCGATGGCATTTGCTGTGTACGTCGACCGGCCGGAAAATGCCTCAATTTACGTTACTGCCATAAGACCGTGAAGCATGGTGGAGGCAATTTAATGGTCTGGGGGTATTTTTCTGCTAACAGTCTAGGTCCAATACATCGAAACGATGTAATAATGGACCCTTTCATGTATAAAAATATCCTGAAAGATGTTATGCTACCTCATGCTGAATGGAATATGCCAATAAAATGGATTTTTCAGCAAGACAACAATCCGAAACACACTGCAAAAGTAGTCAAGCAGTGGTTTCAAGACAACCACCTATTGGTGATGGATTGGTCACCTCAATCTCCAGATCTCAACCCTATCAAGAACCTGTGGCAGATCGTCAACCGCAGAATTAATCGTGAAGGTGTTTGTAATAAGGATCATCTATTTGAACAAATCCAAAAGGCCTGGGCAGCAATTCCACAAAGTTTCATTGATCACCTGATCAAATCTATATCTCGAAGATGCAAGGCTGTGATTGACAACAAAGAATTCGCCATGAAATATTGATAGCGAAATACGGCTTGGTCAACATGGAGTGGAGTTGCACTTGTTTTGTCCAGAAGGAGATCAACTTTTATTAATACTTTTGATTAATTTATTAATTTTCGTGTACAAATAATGAACTTTGTGATGAATAAAACTTGAAGAACGTTGTTTCTAAACAGTTACATAGTTATTTCTTTAAATTGAAAAAATGCAGCACTTTTGTATAAAGAAACTAAATAAGCATTATTTGGTTGCACTTGTTTTGTCCAATACTGTATATATATATATATATATATATATATATATATATATATATATATATATATATATATATATATATATATATATATATATATATATATATATATATATATGTGTATATATATATATATATATATATATATATATATATATATATATATATATATATATATATATGTATATATACACACACACACACAGAGACAGATATATATATATATATATATATATATATATATATATATATATATATATATATATATATATGTATATATACACACACACACAGATATATATATATATATATATATATATATATATATGTATATATACACACACACACACAGACAGATATATATATATATATATATATATATATATATATATATATATATATATATATATATATATATATATATATATATATATATATATATATAGGTATTCATTTAATAAACAGTCAAGTCTTTAAATCACAAAAGTAATTTTTTGAAAGTGTAACAATGTTGTTGGTACTAACCTATTGTCGATAGAATTATATAAAAAATAATATGATATCATTATCATATCATTTGATAAATAATTTGTTTTAATTTAGGTGCTGATCACAGGACCTGAAGATACACCTTATGAAAATGGTTGTTTTGAGTTTGATATTTATTTTCCAGCAGAATATCCATCTTCTCCAATGAGTGTCAACCTGAAGACAACTGGAAAACAAACAGTAAGATTTAATCCTAACCTATATAACGATGGTAAGGTTTGTTTAAGTATACTTAACACCTGGCATGGCAGACCTGAAGAGAGGTGGAGTCCGCAAACCTCTAGCCTTTTACAGGTAAAGTCTTTATTTCATTAATTCACTTTTTTAATTTACTTTACAATGCTGCTTATATTTGTTTATCTACTTTATTTTCTTATTTATTTTTTATTGGAGGATGGAGGGGTGCGAATTTGTATCGATTTTTAATATACAGTTTTTTTAAATATTTTTTGTGCTGTTATTAGGTACTTGTTTCAATACAGTCTTTAATTTTGGTAAGTGAACCATATTTTAATGAGCCTGGTTATGAACGAATGCGAGCCACCCCACAGGGTAAACAAAATTCCTGTGATTACAATACAAACATTCAGCAAGCAACAATAAAGTGGGCAATGATCGAACAGATTAAGAGACCGTCTTTATGTTTTCGAGAGGTTTGTTATAAAGTTTTTTTTTCTATATTATCTTACATTATCTGTTAACACACCGTCTTATATTATCTGTTAACACTAACATCTTATATTATCTGTTAACAGTATTTCGTTAATAGTACTTCTGTTATTAATTCCCTATTTAGACACTTATGTGCAGCTATAAAACCGTTGCTTTGAGATTTTTGACAAAATCTAAATTCTGACAACTAAAATTGCTACTTTTTATCATTAAAAAAACCGTTTTAAAATGTTTTAATCTCTGGATTATTTTCGATAACATCAATAACTCATCATTTAGATTTCATTTGTTCAATGTTATTTAGTTTTAGATAAATGAAAAAAAGACACATAGATCTTATATAACGCATAACGTTTTTACGACAATTAAATAAATGAATCTTTATTTATTTTGTGATTACGTCACAATATGACTAAACTATGTTGTTATAAAATCAGTTTTTTAACCTTATTGAATATTAACCTTGTTTTTTTGTTGTTTTTTTTGTCTTGTAGATTATTCACAGACATTTTTTAATGAAGCAAGCAGATGTTATTTCTCAATGTGAGAGGTGGTTAGCGGAATCAAAACAGAATACACGTTGTTATGAGTCTTTAAACAATACTCTTGCCGAACTAAAGATCGAGCTAATGAAGTTGGAAAAAAATCAAAATAGTAGCATTACAAAAGAAACTGTTGAAGTTGATGAATCAATTACTGAAAATTTTACTTCATCAACGGTCATATATCTGTAATTAATCTTTTTTTCTAAAATATGTATGTAGCTTTTTATCGGCGTTAGAGAAACGGTGTTAACTGAAAAGTTCAAACGGCTAACTGAAAAATTCTTGTAAAATAAGTTCACTTAAAAATATGTGCTTTAATATTGGCATATATTAGTATATATTATATATATTGGCATATATTAGTATATATTATAGTGATATTTTGTATATGTGTCCTTATATAGGCATATTATGATATTTTGTACATGTATCTTAGGCATATAGTGTATTTTGTATAAAAAAAAGTTTTTTGATAAAACAATTTACTTACGTTATTGATTTGACATCTTTTTTAACGGAGTTTTTTGTTGGTTTTTTTTTTTTTTTTTTTTTTTTTTTTTTTTTTTTTTTTTCTAGAAAAGTTTTAAAAAAAGAAAAAAATAGAAATAAAAAAAATAATAAATATATAAAATAACTTTAGGATTAGTATTGAATGTATAGAAAAGGAAAAAGAAACTTGTGCTTTTTTTAAATGCAGAATTGAAGATGAAAAGTTAGTGGTTCAACGACTTTTCTGGCCATAAATGGCATGCTTTTAAAGTCAAACATACAAAATAAATAACAAATTCAAACAAAAAAACAATTTGTACTTTAATTATTTAACCTTATTCCTTTTTAGTTTGATAACTTGAAACAAAACATTATTCTTTTTTTTTTTTTTTTAATTTTACTACATTTATAAAAAAAAAAATTATGTATTAGAAAAAAATATTTGAAACTTTACTGTGTACGAGTACACTACACTTTGTTGTATAAGAGTACAATACATGACTCAGTTAAGTTTACTCGCATGCTATGCGCTTTAGGGGACAGGTAAGTACCGTGTTTAAAGATTATTGTACATAATCTATATTTTAATCGTGACAATGAGGCATGTTGACACGTGTTAATCTTTTGTAAGATACCTTCAATCCTATGTAGGATATTTATAACCCTTTAAACGATATTTTTAACCCTATGTAAGATATATTTAATCGTATATAACTATATTTAACCAGGGTCGGGGGTTGTTACTTTTTAAAAAATTTTAAATAAAAGTCTCTAAAAGCAAAAATGAAAATATTTAAATCAAAATATTTAAGTAAAAGTAAAAAAAGCACAGTCTGAAGATTTTTAAATGGTTAATTTAAAAAATATACATGTGCTGCTCGCATATTTTTTATGTTTATAGTTTTTAATTAATCACTAATGTCTAATTTAATTACTCAAAAAATATGATTAGAATGTGGTTAAGAGAACCATATAAAATAAATGTTTCTTACACCTCCTAGTGATGGGGTGACTTGGGACAGCAGATTTGGAATGAAAAGGGACACAGTTCAATTTCATCAACTTTTAAATTTACTGTTTTAACTTTTATAATTAATTTTTTTGTAAAAAAGCAAGTGAAGAGAAAAATTCCGTTTATGTTTATTATAAGATTTCAATGTTTACTTTACTGAGAAAGCAATATACAGGAAATATAAAACGACATAATTTTTTCACAAATAGAGTAGTAAGCGACTGGAACAATCTTAAACATGAAACAATAGACGCAGTCAGTATCAACCAGTTCAAAAACAAATTGGATGAACATTTTAAATATTAACTTTTATTATGTTTGTATGCTAGTGTGTTACAGCTGTTAAAGTTAGAAACTCTACGTAGTTTGGACTCATCACTCTTTAAGAGTACAGCGCTATTATATTATATTATACTGTGTTTTTTTTCCTTAGAAATAAAATTTATTATATAGGATTTTTTGTCTTGAAATTTTTACCCTAATTGTTAAAGACATATTTCTCAGTGAGTATTGTTTTATTGAGAATTATTTTTTAGCATATTTTAAATTCAGTTTTAATTATTTTTTTAAGTCTTCACCTTTTTAAATTTAATATAAACTTCACCTTTTTTAAATTTAATCTCAGTATAAGTTTCATTGTAGTACTATTCTATTTTCATTAATCTTAATCTGGATTTTGGTTAATGCAAATAAATTTTTTTTTTTTTTAATTTTTTAATCATAGAGATAGTAATATTCTTTCAGATACCAAATATAAATGACAAATTGGTTAAAGTCTGATGGTCATATAATAAAAGCCGCTGTGATGGCTGTTGAATCTGGGAGCTTATCACTACGAGCCGCTGCACTAGAGTATAAAATTTCAATATAAATTTTGGAAATTATAGGTTAACAAAGAAACTTCTTACAATACCTTATATTTTGATGAACAACATAAGTATATTTTAATAAAGCACAAGAAGATAAACTTTCAATATATCTTCGTCCAGAAACTAATATGCATTATGAACCTAATGTTACAGAAACAAAGCAACTTGCATATCAATATGCAATTTAAAAAATGACATTAAAATACCAGAAAACTGGAAAAAGAGTGAAACAACTAAAACTGGTTATATTTATTCTTAAATCGTACAAAATTATCTATTCGTATGTCAGGAGCTACCAGCCTTAGTCGAACAACTAGTTTGTTTTTTTTTTTTTTCTTATTTTGTTATAATTTTTGCCGTAGAAAGTTACAATTTATAAAATAACATAAATAATAAAACAAATGGGTGGAGCAAGAAGAAGACATCAGTTTATCTTATCACCAAGCCCCATTGTGATTTCATTACAGGTCGTTTTATACAATAAAATATATAAAATCGTGATAAATGCTTGTGATAAAATATGTAAAAATGTGTAAAACTACGTTTCACACAGTTATATATCAATATATAACTGTTTATATATAAATTCGTATTGTAAAATAAATTTAGAACAAGTAAAAGTTAAAGCAAATAAAAGAAATAAATTGTGCTAGTTTATATCATTTTACTAAAAAAGAAAAAGAAAATTTAAGTCCGTAGATAATAAAAAACGCTTTGATTCAGATTTAAACTGTTTTTTAAAAAGTTTTTTTTTGATCGTAACAATCTGGAGAACAAACTTCTACAAATAAGGTGCGCGGTGTTGGATTGAGTATGAATTTACTTTAATGTAAATTTTGGGATGACAAAATTGTTATATGAGAACCTAGTAGGATGTTTATGACTTATTTCGCCAAAATAAGGTTAAAATATCGGCGGAGATTTATATTTTATTTTGTACATAAACTGTAAAACAAGATGTATGTTAATTTTGTATATTAATATTGTACATAAACTGTTAACAAGATGTATGTTAGTTTAGATATTCAGCTATTTTTGTCTTATCAATGACTAACTTACCATCAATCAAAAAAATTTTCGGTAGATTGCTTTTTGTACAGTTATTATTACCGGTTATTTCTTTAATCGTATTCCATGTTTTCTTTGGGGTTTTTCTTAACAA